AATTCAGTTCCTAAAACGAGAGCTTCCAGGCTGTTCCAGTCTGCAGCAGGTTTGCAAGACTGAATTATAAATTCTGGAAATAGGATGTCATAGTTAAAAAATGCACGGTGAGCCTTTATGTACAGTTCTGAATGAGATCTTATGTGATATTTCAGCTGATGACATTGTGATGGAAGATGAACCACAGATGTGGCTGAAGGTAGCTGCAGCCCGAGCTGTGCAAACCTTCGCGCCGCTTTACGTTTGCGTCACTCGGCCACAAAGGATTCTTTTTTCACAGCTGATGGGAGTTCAAACTCAAATGTCTTTTTTTTTGTTGCAGCCAAGAGGTGAATCCTTTTGTCGAAGATTAGAAGGCCGGGGGCTCTGGAAATGCTGCCTGCTGTTACTCCAAGCATAAATTATTTGCAATATCAGGATTTCATCCCAGGAAGAGGAAACGTATCCTGCCCTACCACCGCTCCAAGCTGGGCTACCAGAGCTGTGTGCAGAGAACTGCTGGAAGAGGGGAAAACAGATTTTACCCCAGTGCTGCTGTCCCACCCCTCTGCAGGCAAAACGCCTGCTGTACAGCATGATGAGGAGTATTTATGGAAACAAAAGCAAACCCAACGGAAACCAACACCGTAATTCTATAAACAAATTGGTATTTATCTCAATGTGAAAAACAGGCAGGAAACAGTTCTTACAGTGACCACGAAGATGCAAAGAAAAAATATAAAGTCACAAAATGAGATACAACTAGAAAGGAATATAATAAGAATAAAGTGTTTGATAAGTGCCTTCTGTATGTAGAAAAAAGGCCTAGGAAAGATTACATCTGTCACTCAGCAAAGAGAGAAAGCTTTTGACAGATCACCCTAAGAAAGCCTTTTTTACTTTCATCTTCTCTACAGGAATCAGCTGTGATCAGATTGCAAAAATAATCAAGACCAGTGTCAGAGGAGTGAGAGCTCTGACTGCAGTACGAAGAAGAGTTTCAAGAGCACTTGGGAAGCACACAGTGAAGGTCAGGCCATTACGCTCACCTTACAGCAACTTCAGAGATGCCAGTGACCATCCCTGAGGTCTGGCACATCAGAGGTTGCTGGAGAACTCAAACCTTGCAAACGGTGCCTGTCTGAGATGGGAGGGCAGGAGTTGCATCATCTGCTCATCTGTTCGTGCAGAAACACCTGAGCAAAGCGTGGGACCTAGAATGAGGTTCTTGGAGATGGCCACCATGGATTTATTCAGGTTACATTATGTCAAAACTTATTCCATGACAACATGACAGACCATGCAGATAGAGAAGTCATCTATCTTGACTTCCATAAGCTTCTGCCACCATCTCATCTAACAGACTCACAAGTGAGCTGAGGAACACCTTCAGGTGACATTACTTTAGGGCCTGGGAAAGATCTCCAAAACTACACCTACATGAGGTACCACCTACACTGTGGGCATAGAATAATGTCTGGAGGGGATTCTGGGCCCAACAATATTCAGTATCTTTATTACTGTTCTTCTAAGAAGGTGGAACGGAGAATGTTTTGCATGATATCTGCAGATGGTACCTTGCTAGGGGGAATGGCAACAGCCTTTGAAGACAGCATTGTAATACAGAATGATCCTGACAAATTGCAGAAATAGTCTGAAAAAATAGGATGCAATTCAAGATGAATCAGTGCAAAGTTGTCACTGATGCATAATCAGCTGTTCAAATATAGGATGGGGACAACTGATTACAAAGCATTTCTGCAAGAAAGCATCTGGGGTTACAGTGAATCAGAAGCAGTACATGAGTCAACAGTGTCATGCTGTTGCAAAAAGGGCAGATGTCAAACTGGGACGTATAAACAGGAGTGTCATATGTTAGACATGTGAAGTAATCCCACTTGGTGCTGGGAAGATTTCAGACACAATAAAGCATCCAGTTTTGGCGCTGCGCTCCCAAACATATGCTGTCCAGCCACAGAACAATGAAAGCCGTGCCAGGTCCAGAAGCCACGACCTACACAGAATGAAGGGAGAAGTCGGGGTTACCAGTGGGTAGATGTAATAAGTTGTCAAATACAGCAGAAATTGCTGAAAAGAGGAAGGAAATACACTGTTCTCTATTTCATTCATGAGCACTGAAAAAAAAAAAAAGGAACAAATATATTTCCAAAATGCATTCATCACTAAGAGAAATTTCAAACAGTAAGGGCATGACAACAAAGTGCCCAGAAGGATGGTTAAATGTGCACTGTGGAAGTGCCTCAGAGGGAACGGAGCACAGCCAGCCCCACTGCTGGGCACGGCCTGCACAGAAAAATGACCACAGCACTCTGCATCCTGCAAGGCAGCGCCAGTCTGCCTGCCAAGCTTGGTTCTCTGAGCATCCTTGCAAAACCACACTCCCCTATTTATCTGTCTATCTACCTATCTATCTATCTATCTATCTATCTATCTATCTATCTATTTATTTAAGGAGAGTAGTTTTCAAGAAGAAGGAAGTAAATATTGAAGTTGTCGATGATTCTTTCTTGGCAGAACTTGCCAGAATTACCTATCTTTATTTGTTTATTTATCCTTTCTCTGTTTATCTCAAGTAGTAAGAGTGGAGGAGGCCGTAAGATCCAAGGTAAATGCCATTCCAGATGAATGCTGTACCTACATATCAGTGAATTCCAGGAAAATGAACCACATTTAATTACCAGCATTGCAGCTATAGAAGGACAGGCAACACAGGGTAAGATGAGGGACTTGAGGTGAACAGCTGAGGTCTCTGTGACTGCTCACGATGGGAAATCAAATACACACATCACATTTGACCCTCTATTGCAAGTGGAAATGCCTGCAGACTTTCCTGTAATGCACACCAAATCACATGCGTTATTTTGAAAAATCAGACCAGAAATACCCCAGAGCCACAGCGATGGAGATTTTTCACTGTCCCAGACCACGCTTCTGTTCCATGTAACCTGCACCTAACCAAGACATTGGAAATGCTCTGAAAACGCACCTAGCTGACTGCACAGCAGTGAAGGTGGGGGGGAGAACATCGTCCCGATCCCGGTGGGGAGCTCAGCTCGTGCCCTGAAGCATGAGATTTGATTACTCTTTTTTGAACATGCATAACTGCCATTGCTATTACTGGTCATAACATTTTGTCAGGAAAGGGAAATATTATTCTGCTATGTAATAAAAATAGATAAAATTCAATACAGCTTCAGAATCATTTGCTACATTTCCAAAGTAAACATTAAACACCCATCGGGATTATTCCATTGGATAAGCCAAGGAAGCCTCCAGTGCTATCACTTCATTTTATCATCCCTAATTTTCAAGAGGGCAAAAATGCTTTCAGTAAATATTATGGGTTCTTCCTGTGCTAAAAGAGATGCTAAATGACCTTCACCAACGTAGTTATAAATAACAGGAGGAGGGAGCGCACAATTGCTGTACAGTCTCGGCTCTATTCAAAGCTATCGGCAGATTCTGACCAGTGGATAAAAATGGACACCAGATTCTGCTGGCTTTTTTTTCCCCCTTCTTCATAATCCCATCCCAGTTCCCTCTTGAAAGGCATTCTGTTCTGTCAGCCATAATGGCATCTGCTGGTGGAGACAGGAAGCCATAAATCTGTAGGGTTCCTCTCAACCAAGCCTTGTTAATGCTCCCATTTATCACTGTGGATAGGGTGCCATCTCACTAGTGCTCTGCTAGAAGTCCATCTTCTCAATTTCCCCTTCCCAAAGGAGTAACCATTTAAAACAGTGACTTTCTCATCTTGCATGTTGAGACTGAAAACGCCACTGATACAAATACCATGCCCAGCGTGGAGCATTTGGATTCCAGCCATGGCTGGGAGAACAATAGCAGCTCCTTGCCGATCCCAGGCTGCACTGGAGCCCGGCTCTGCTCCATCTGTGGGTCGTGGCCGTCCTCCCTGTGCAGAGCAGCAGACCCAGGTGGAAAGGTTCACACCAGAGATAAGCTCGATCCCCCCGCCCCATGACGCCTGGCAGCATCTCAACACATCACACTGGCAATAAAGCATCTTACAAGGGCTTTTCATACACAGCTCCTCACAGTAATATACAATTCCTCATAATTACCTACTAATAATCAAACTACCCCAACCAGAGGCGCAGTACTGTTCCACGCAACCAGAGGAGAGAGGGAGACAGAAAGAATGCAACCCCCACTGGAAGTACCTTCAATCTTCTGACCTGGGCACCAAGACAGACACGGAATCACTGAATCACAAACCCGGCTGGGTGAAATGCAAGAAGGAAATCCCGGTTGGTCACTGTGCTCCAGGCCCAGCGCCACGCTGGCATCAGGCACCGTCCCCTCTTGGCCTCACAGCAGCACTGCCCCAGCGCTGGCCCTGCTGAGCTCCACGGCTGGAGCGGGCAGCACAGAACCCCAGGTGCACACTGGTAGGATTTCACAGCGTGGGGCTGCCAGGGGGCCAAGCAGTGCTGAGCGCTTCGAGCAGAGCTGCTCGCTTCGGAGTGAGTTATGCACGGCAGAAGAGCAAAAATGAGTATTTTATGGTAGCGTTATCCTATTTTATCTTTCAAAACTAAGCATCTGCTTGCACCAATAAATACTTTTAGATTGCTTATAAAAATTGCTAGTGTTCGGTTGGGGAAGGCTATGAAATAATTTAAGTGAAATCACCTACGTGGATGCTTTCACACACACAGCCTCCTATCAGGCTGCCAAACCGAAAGGTCACTGCGGGGTCTTCCATGGAAACCCCCTCCTCAGCGGAGCTGTGGGGCACAGGGCGGCGATGCACAGCTGGGCCTGGCGCGCTGTTTGAGCGGGATGCAGATGGTTCCCGCTCATCCCATTAGAAACACACAAATGGCGAGACAGCAACAAGAGCACCAAGGAACTCCGTTCTGTTACAAACTCCGGGGCTCGGCTGTGGAATATTTGCAAAATCCACTTTGAAAAAAGAAATAAATTCTTTACCAACGAGAACGGAAGGCACAGAATCGAACCCCACTCCCTTTTCAAACCTCGAGGCGCTGTCGGCGGCCGCGGAGACAGAAGGACGGGGCGGCGATCCCCAGGCCGGCGCGGGATCCCACCTGCCGTGCGCCCGCCGGGCTCCGCGCGGGATGAGGGCGGTTCGGCGGCACGGCGCGGGGTCGCACCTCCTCAGCGCGAGTGCGGGGAGCCTTGGGACAGCAGACGCGACACCGCACTCCCACCCTGCGCTCGGCCGCGATGCCGCGGGTTGTCCGGTACGAAAGGACCCCGAGGGGGGCTGGGGAGCGACCTCAACTTCACCCGAGTTTGCACTGAGCGCGGGACGGCCGCGAGGGAGCGCGAGGAAAGGAGCCCCGGGGCCGCCCCGCAGCGCCCTCCCCAGGAGGCTCCGCGCGGGGCGCGCGTGGCACCGGGGCTCGCGCGTGGGGCGAGGGGGGCGCGCGCTCGTGGGAGGGGGGGGGGGGCGCGCGCGGGGGGCGGGGGGGGCGTCGGCGCCGCGCGCCCCAGGTGCTGCGGGCCCGGCGGCGGCGCGCGCTGTCTCTTTAATAAACTGCGCGGAGTAAATTTCCTCCTGTCATCAGGGCGCGGAGGAGGAGTTTGTTAATGTGCAGTTTGCTCAGCGGATCGATGTTTGCTGGCATCGCCTCGCCCTGCCTGTATGTGTGTGTGTGTGTGCGTGTGTGCGAGTGTGTGTGTGTGTGTGCGCGCGTGTGTGTGCGAACAGCAGATTTCCTTCCCTCCGAAGCCTCCCTGTCCTCTCCCATATCACTCACTGCCTGGCATCTGACAGCACCGAACCTGCAGCGCTCCGCGCGCACGCACACGCCGCGCACCGCCGGGCAGCGCTCCGCCATCCGCGCGGCGCGGAGGAGGAGGAGGAGGAGAGGGAGGAGAGGGAGGAAGCAGCCCGGCAGCCCCGCAGCATTCCCAGAGCCGCCTTTCTAATATATACATATCTATTTTGTTATTTATTTATTCTCGCTCTCTGGTACTGTGGGCGCCTTTCATTTGCTCCTGAGCTTGGATGTTCGAATCAAAGCAAAGCAAGTGTTGCAACAGTTAAAAAAAAAAAAAAAAAAAAAAAAGCCAAAAAAAAAAAAAGAGAGAGAGAGAGAGAGAGAGAGAGAGAAAGAAACGTAGATCTCTGAAATAAAATAAAGGCAAACAGGTTCCTGTGAGCGCAGCCGGGGGGGCCGGGGCTGAGGGTGCCGGGGCCGCGGCTGAGGCGCACGAACACGGCTCCGGAGCGGCTCAGGGCTCCCGGATCTGGGGACAGAAGTGAGATTGGAGAAAGTAGAGCGATGCCAAGGAGGAAACAGCAAGCACCCAAACGGGCTGCAGGTAAGGAGAAGCCATCCCCTTACACAGCGCTGCCTCTCCGCTCCTCTCGATCCTTCCCCCCATCTTTATTATTACCGAGGGTCACCCTCGCCTTCTCGGCCCGCAGCCGGCTTTATTTCTCGCCCTCCCCCTCTCTGTGCCCGGAACTCCCCGTGCCGCTCCGTGCCCGCGGCCCTGCCCGCGGCTCTCCGGCCCCGACCCCTTCCCGCCGCCCCGCGCCCGCCCCGGCCAAACTTCCCCCCAACTTTCCTCCGCTCTCTCCCCTTCTCCCCCGGCCCCTTTCCCCGCCCGGGAGCAGCCTCCACTTTGCTCCCCGCTTCAGGCTTTATTTCCTTATTATGATTATTTTATTTATTTATTTATTTTCGGTCGTTCTTTACCCCGCGGCGGTTTTGTTTCCCAAACGCGCGTGGCGGAGCGGCTCGGGGCGCTGAGGCTCCCGTTGCGGGGCTGCGCGGCGCTGCCCGAGCGCTGCGTGTGCCTGAAACGGCGCAGGGGCTGCGGCGCTGAACCCGGCGGGGAAGTTCAGCCTTTGATCAGCGGTGGTGAAAATTGCAACAGGAAATAAAGCGAAGCGTTGTGACTGCTAGAAGACGAGCCGCATTTTCCAATCAAATTCTTCTTTTGTTTTGTATCTGAGTTGGTGTATTTGCACGCGCCAAGTGCTTTTGTGATCGTTCTTCTTCTTCTTCTTTTTTTTTTTTTTTAAATGATTTTTTATTAATTTATTTATCTTAGGGGAGGAAATAGTTTGCAACTTTGGAAGCGTTCTGTTTTGTCATTTGTAGGATGTTCTTTTTCTTTTGGGGGCCAAGAAAAAGAGGCAGATGAGTGGGCCCGTATAGTAAATCTTTTCAAAGAGTTCTCTTCCAGGCTGCTTAATTGCTTTTTATTTTTTTTTAATAGTCTGATGGGGTTTTGTTTCTGGGAAGCGCAATATGGAAGTTCATTTTTCTTCTGCCAGACCCACCCACTGAAAAATCAGCTTTCCAGTTGATTGCCAGCTTTGATTTGACATTTGATTGATCACCTGTCATCTTGCTGCCTTTGATCTATTCATTCTTGATATATATCAATAAATCACTCACCATGGTAACCCAAGTGCCAATGACGTAAGGCTTGCCCTCTAGATTCTCTTAGCCAGACATGCACAATTATTATCTTGTTTGGCTTTTAATGTAGGCGGGTTTTTCTCCCCCTTTTTTTTTTCTGTGGGTCCTTTGTCAGATTAGTTCTCCAAAGAAAACTAATATTTCATGTTTGCACTTTCAAAAAGGCCTGTTAATTTTTCTACTCTGAATATTTTCATGTTGTCGTATTATCCATGGGACAAAATGCATGGGCAACTTTAGTGGCTCGAATAAACTTTGCAAAGTAGTGCTTGGGATACATTTGGAGGCAAATGTTATTTTGAGAAATTGGGAGGTGCACAACTTGGACGAACTTACGTGTTTTGCCCTATTCTCATGGGTGTAGGACAATGGCATGCAGGGAGAGCCTTTGGGACATGAGCAGTGATGCACCCACGCAGGCTGCCAGCCTGGCAAGCAGCAATCCCTGCCATTATAAATGATAGTCAAGCTCAGCACAGATATGTATTTATATATATATTCAGAAGAACTCTCTGACGAGTTGCTGTTATTGTTTTATTCACAAAGAGGTTATATCTGAATAAGGCATTAACGTGTTCAACTTGCAGGATAAATAGCTGTTTTTTCATGGATGCTGATCATCACAGTGACAGTGCTAGAATTGCTCCTTTTTTCTTTCTGTCAGGAGTACGAGGCTTCATTTTATTTTATTTTCAAAGTAGAATCTTTGCTTGCAATGTGTGTAGTATCTTCCTGTAGCAGGGGCATCCTGTTCTTTTTTAGAAACATAGGCTGCAGAATAAGTAAATTCTTGTGAGCAAAGCCCATCCTGTTGTTTCCCAGGATTTCCCCGCTGAGAATACAGCAAGAAATATTCCTATCCAGAACATTACAGTATGTTGCCAGCCATAGTGAGGAGGTAGAAATCCGCATGGCCACAGCTGTGTCTCTCCGTCTTTATTCCCATTTTGAAGCGTGCCTTGGTCTTCCACAGTGCATGCCTGTGATTCTGTTTGTCCTCAGAGCAATGTTGTTTCAGGTGAGCAAAGCGCTGCAAAAGCAGTCCGGTTTCATTCAGCATAACTGATTTGAAGTCGGTTTGTGCATTTGCAATAGTTCTCCTGCTTTGAAGTTGTGTTTATGTGTTTGTGGGGGGGCGGGGGGGCTTCCAAAGAGCAGACATGCCTCTTGTGTGTAGTTCTTAAAACTGACTTTCATTTTCAGGATAGCACTGAGGTTCTGTTTTGCAGATTGCGAAGTACCTCAAAGTGACAGTAGACAGACTGTGCAATAAGAAACAAATCTCTCATCAAGGCTGATAGCAAATCTCTTTATTCCTTTTATTTAGAGGAGTTAATACATTATATATTACTTAATTTTCGCTCTATTTATTTTCTCTTGTACAAGTTCAAATGTATCAGTTGCACTGCATTTTGTCTTGATGGCAGCAGAGATATTGAAGAGAAGTTTGCAACTTTTGGCTCCCTCAGATAGTTCACCTCCACCGGAAGAAAAATGATAAGCCTTGTGGTTCTGGACGTGCCTGCTTTTGTCACTGCTTAAAATTAAATACTATGCACAACTGTAAATAATTACTACCATGCACTGACTTTGAAAGCAGGTTTCTAGTTTGATTAATGAATAATGTAAAGGTTAGAGAGAACCAGCGAGTGAATCAGAAGTGAAGTCCTGCTGCTAGATGAAAATCTATCTAGAGAAATATACATGGCAATTTTGTCCTGTTCTATTATTAATGTTAAGCCTTGTATTCCTAAGAAATATATTACAGAGCATTGTAATGAAACAAGGTAGCGTAATTGGATAAACGGGGCCCTATTTATGTTTGACGATGGGGATTTTTGATCTCAAATTATACTTTTAGAGATAACTCATCGCACAGCAATGCCAGAATTACGTTGAATGCATTTTGATCTTTCCAGGGCTGAATCTGCTCTGAGCCGTCCCTCTTTTTATCGTCATCTCCATTTCAGTAGTTCTTAAAGCAGGTTTTTGGAGCTCGTTGTGCCTGTGGCTGTGTTAGTATCATGCTTCTGTGTACAGTAAGGACCTGTTTGTGCTGTCGCCTTCCTCCAAACGACTCACAAGGGCTGTGCAGATTGCGGGCCCAGTTCTTCTCCCGCTCAGGTACAGAGCAGAAATAGCTTTGCTCGCATCAGTGCGGCTGCGATGAGCGCTGTCTGCCCCTGGGAGTACGAGGAGACCCAGGCCCGGAAAGCGCTTCGTCCTTCCGCACAACGCAGCCACCTCTGGGGCAGAACTCTTGTAACGATTCCATAACAAATGGTAATATATTAACAGAAGGGTGGAAAAAAGGTGGGAGCAAAGCAAAATTGCTATTCAGATTTTATTCCTAGGGGTATGAAATAGCTTTCAAACACAATTTCACTGGATTAAACTCTACTTTCCCCTGCAGCCTGTTTAAATGTGCATATTTTATTTTGTGATCATGAATTGCTAGTTTGCTTTTTTAAAGCCTAAAAGACGAATCCAGACTTAACGCCTTTTCTGAGTGCAATTTCGTCTTCTTTTCTTTCTCTCCCAGCTCCAATAGGCTATCTAGGAACCAAAGCCCTTGAAAAGTACAGCAGGAACAGATAGCAGCCGCATTCATTTTGTTTATTGGTGCAGTAGAATAAGGCAGTCTTGTTTTGGAGAAGTCCCCAGATAGTGGCAAACAGAAGATGGGTAGCAGTCAGTACGTTGGAGCTGCAGTCTGCACTTCAGTAGTAAAGGTTATTTAAAACAGAAACGTATTTAGAAAGCGAAATTCTGCTTCTTTAGAGAGCAAAGTAGGTGGCCAGCTAGGTCTGCCGTGTGCATTTCTGTGATGAAAGGAAGCAGTACGTACATGTATTAATAACTGAGAGCGTTGTGGCTTTT